GACACAAATCCCACCACCTCATGTTGGGGATTTAAGCCCAGACTCCCAGTGCAAGCTAGATGCGTGGGACCTGCTGGATTGAAAGAACATGCTGGACAGAGAATTGCCAAAGTTCAGCCCATCCTTGGCTGGAGGATGTGCAGCTCCCAGAGGATGAGGGGACACCTCCAGAAGAGGCAATGCCATTGCTCAGTTATGAGGAGGGGTGGCTGTGGCTCCCCTGTGAATGCTGGTATTGGTCCTCCCTCAGACCAGGGTCTGAGCAGAGATTGCTGTCCAGGGCTGGGCTGTCAGGGCCGGCACTGCAGCCGTGGCTGTGACTGTGACCACTGTGCAGGAAAGTGGCAGGAGGTGACAGCTGGGAGCAGCCCAGCTACACCCAGTGCTTCCCACCTCATCCTAGGGGATTTGCCGAGGGCGTGTCTGGCTCTGCTACACTGCAACAGGTGTCCTAGTTACAAAAGGCAATTAGTGGAGAAACTCCCAGGGTTCCTCCTTCCTCCAGGAGATGGCAGGTGCTGTCTGCCCTTTAAAAGTGCCCTTTCCCTCTTGCAAGCTTGTGCTGAGACCATTGTAAAACGTTATCCCTCCTCCTATGCTTTGCTGCCTCCTAGCACCTCATTCTGGCACATGGAACTGGCTGGGAGCAGCCACTGACATGTGTTGTGAGTTACACCATCATTGTGGTCTCATCTCTGCCACCCAAGGAGGGTGGCTCTGTGCTGCCAAAGCTGCCAAGGACCCAGGGACGACACACCAGGTGCAGGTACCTTGTTTTGGGTGTTTGCTATCTTGGTTAAGGGCAGGGCTGTGGGCACCTTTCCTCCTTGTGTCTGCCTGTGCTTGGCTTCCCAGGGAAAAGTGTCTGGAGGGAGGGGAAACCACAGGAGATGCTGTAACACCTTATCAGTTGTTGGTTGTAATGTTTTGTGATGAGGTAGGAAGCCACTGGGGGCAGGGGGCACTCAACGTGCCCCTTGGCTCCTGCTCAGCAGCCCTTAGGCTGGAGAGGTCCAAACAGTTGGGGTCCCTGCAGTGGGGTCCCAACCCATGCCCTGCCCAGAACCCACCACTCAGTTCCCGGCAGGCAGGAGGGATGTTAAGCTGGGTGACACTTCACAGGGCTTTTAAATGTCACCATCCCCCTGCCACCCACCCCCGGTGTCAGTGCAGGACACTGGGCACAGTGTCAGACCACAAAGCCCTGACTGTCCTGTCTGGGCCAGCCCTGCAGGTGTGGCTGCCCTGCGCGCCCACGGATGGACGGACAGAAGGATGGACAGATGACAGCAAATGTCAGACTCTAGCCCCAAAACTTCCCTCTATGCAGTACTCTTAATCCAAGGGGTGATCTGGTTCTCCTGTTGTACCACGTCCTGCCTGAGCCCTCCAGTCCCACCCCAAGCCAAGCCTCCTGCCGATGCCCCGCTCAGGTACGTGCCTGGTCACTGAGTCTCTGGGTCACCCTCCGTCAGCCGCGAGCCCTCGCCAACCCCTCGGCGCTCAGACGGGTCCGACACCTCCGTGTGCTGTTGCTTATACTCATGAGGATGGAATTAGGAGTGAAAAGGAGGAATGCTCATGCGGTGTCAGGCAGCACTTCCTGCAGCTGGCCATCTGAAGGGTGGCCAAGCCCAGCTGAGGGTTGGCTCCAGCTTCAAAACTGGGATTTGAGTTTGGGTTCAGCCTTTATACCGTGTCCTTCCCCAAAGAAGTAGAGGATGATGGAATCCAGGGTTTCATCTCCAGGCCAAGTGAAACCCCACATCCATCCTCGTGGTTAACCATCAGTAGACATATCATCGCTCAGAAATCCAACTTCCTTCAGCAGAGTCTCGGTCTGGGTTGTTCCAAGGAAAATCACTTGGTTCCTGGGTTCACCATAAGCTCAGCAGTGATTTACTATGATAATGTGCAGGGAGTTAATGATGTTCATCCTGCAATGTTTGTGTAAGGGCTGTACAGCTGCTCTTGTTAACTTCTAAGTAAGACTGGCTGGAAGAATCCTGTTCCTAATTCTGTTGCTCAATATCTTATTTTAAATTCAGTGTCTAGTACCCATGGATGCTACCTCCTGGTTTTTTTTCCTCCAAGCTGTATGAGTAAGGAGCTTGGGCTGTGTTTTCCTGTGCACACTGTTGCTCAATAACTTAACAGTGCAATAGAAGCTTGAGATAATAATTGCTATTACCAGGAAAATCCTCCAATAAATAATAATTTTCTTATCTGCATGACTTTGGGACTGGAGAAAATGCTTTCCAGTGGAAAGCTGCAGTGCATAAGAGCATGCAAGGGGCATTTCAGATGAAAGATCAGAGCAAGGCAAGCTCAGAGCTGAATCTTGTTCAATGCAAATGAGTGGGTTAGCAAAAAACCTGGAATAATTAGTGTGGATAAGTAGCCACTGGAGTAAACTAGGGAGAGCAGCTGGGCATCTCCACCTCTTATGGTCTATAGAGTCTGTACAGACTCGTGGTCTTTAGGCAAAATTTGGGGAATTCTCAGTTCCAGTAGTGGGTGGTTCTGGAGGCCACGGACACTGAGCTCTATGTTTGTCACCCTCATCTCCAACCTAGAAAGGAGTATGAGTCACACACCAGGACCTGCCAGACCTTGGTGGAAGGTACAGCCCTAATTCTGGTCCTCCTGTCCCAGACAGGGACACACCGAGGCACCTGTGTCTGTATAGAGATGGGCACCTATTTGGTCCTTGCTGTGACATCTGTGACCACAGGCTGTGTGACAGCAGGCAGTACTTCCACACTGCTCCAAGGCAAATAGTGCCCTGCCTTGGATGCTGCCACAGGTTTCCATTACAGAGTCCTCAGAGAGAAGGGGATATATTTTGAAGTCTCTTCTACCCTTTCTCATCTCTGTAAACAACAAACCACCACAAAGAGCACGGTGCAGGAGAGAAGGCTGCAATTTTAACTACCTGCTGAACCTCAGCCCCAGAGGTGACACCCACACTGGCTATTTCCAGCTCCTGAGTGGGCAGTCTAAAGACATCGGGATGTTTGTTGTGCCCAGTGTTTCCACAGCTGGTTTAGGGGAAAGCTGAGGGTCAGGCTGGCTCACAGGGATGCAGCCAAGGATCAGAGAATCACAGAATGATTTGGGTTGGATGAGACTTCCAAGTTATCTCATTCCACCCCCCTGACATGGGCAGGGACACCTTCCACTAGACCAGGTTGCTCCAAACCCCCACCTTGAACACTTCCAGGCATGGGGCAGCCACAACTTCTCTGTTGTGATGCTCACAATAATCGAGGCAGAAAGATGCCCTGAATTGTCTAAGTGGGGAAAAAAAGCCCCAAACTAACCCAAAATCTTTGGGACAACCAGGCAGTTTGGGGAACAGTTGTTGCTGTGCCCCCTGCCCAGCTGGGAGTGCTGTCACCAGGACCCCAATGAGTTTTTAACCTTTTTCTTAGTCATGAGCTGCACATTCAGCCCCACACTGGGATGCAGTATCCCCAGGGAGTCAGTGAGCATCCCCCAGCTGTGGTTTGTGAATACCTTACATGTGTGCACCTGGTAAGGATCACACCCACACCAAGTTAGGTGTGAACTCCAAAATCCCTTTTTGGAGTCTGGCAGCCAGTAAACTCTTCCCATCAGTTGGAAGATTTTGTGAACACCCTGCAACAATGGGAATATTAAGCAAGGGGAGGGGAGAGTGTTTTACTTGATGTGAAATACTTGTATTTTATGTCCAAGATTTGACCTGTAATTGAGACTTAAGTACAAAAGGAGGTAGAAATTCTAGTGGAAAATGTACCCAGTTGAGTAGTTTTGTGTACAACACCCAGGTGTTGTAGGTGTGCAGGTATTGGAGAAATAACAGTGGATCTCTCTGGGGGAAACGAGGAACCTCTCTGGGGAAAAACATAACTGGATTAGGTAAAAGCAGGACAGCCTTGGGATCTACCAGTCACGGATACAGGGATGGCCCTGTGCCATGTCTGGGAGATTTGGAAACATGTGGAGGGGTGGATGGTGCAGGGATGCAGAAGGTTGTGCCCTCAGTGACTGCTGCAGGCAGCATGTGGCAGGGAGATGGGCAGGAAGCAGCTGGGTTATCCAGCACTGAGCTCCCATGATCAGTATAATTTTCAGGGGCTTTATGGCGTGCAGAGAGTCTGGAGTATGCAAACAGCTGGAATCTGGAGTTCATCTTTGGACGCACGGAGCAGGTTTTGTCATGGTAAAGATCTCCCCCTCCTGTCCACCACAGCAGCAGGGATGAGAGTGAAGGAGGGAATCAGCTCCCATTCCTGCTCTTGTTCTGTGACTGAGCACAGGTCAGACAGCTCAGTGTGCAATGGGGGGCCACCCTGAGCAGGTGAGAGTGACTGTGCCCCCAAGGTGGGCTTGCAGGCTGGGCGAGCTGCCTGCCTGGCCCCCTGGGCCGGGAGTGTCCGGTGGGACCTGCATCCTTCGGGGGGGTGCAGGACCATGACCCTCACATGGGTCACTGCCGGGCTGGCTCCACCTTGGAGGGATTGACAGATGTGTAGTTGTGGCACTTGGGGACATGGGCTAGGGGTGCCCTTGGCAGTGCTGGGGGAATGGCTGGACTTGATGATCTTAGAGGGCTTTTCCCACCTAAATGATTCTGTCATTCTGTGATTCTGCAGAAATAATGTCCCTGCACAGGTGAGAGCTGGCAAGGGTGGTCTGCAGGTGGGACAGGAGGATTTACCAACCCCAGAGATGTGGGAAGGAAAGATCTGAGATTTCAGCTCTTGAGGCACAGATCTAAATTAAGAGCCAGGACCAAGGACAGACTTTGTGAGTGCAAGTGGGTTGTGAGTCATGTATGAACTGTGTGTCCAGACCGTTGTGGGCAAAGGGCAAAGCCTCACAGCAGACAACAGTTCTGAAAGGAGTCTGTAGAGGACAAAAGGGTTTTGGATGTCACCCCGTGAGTCAGTGGCACCCTGGGCACAGCAGCCAGCCCAGCTTCTGCACCCTGTGAAACACTTCCCGCGGCAAACCTTTTTCTGCCTCTTTTCTGATCTTTATCCTCAGGGTTAGCTGCCAGGCTCAAGTATCCTGGGCTTGGGTGCTGTCTATGGGATCTTTGCTTGGTCCATCCCTGGGCAGCCTTCTTGGGCAAGGGAATGGGTTTGGGGATTTGGGTCAGTACAAACAGCAGGAGAAAGGGGGGTCCTTTCCAAGAGAATTCCCAAATATTAACCCTGGCACTGTGAGGGTCTGCCACATTCAACAGCTAGAAGTGAAGCATTTTATTATACTCTTTTCCTTAGCAAGCTTTTAGAGAGGAAAGCAAGGCTTGTGACAGCCAGAATTTTGTCACCTGCAGGTGCCGGGTGCTCTGCATGCTACAGACCTGCCTCTGCCTCCTCCCTGGGCTGGAGGCTACGGCTGCCTATGACCCAGGCATGAGGCATGAGTCCTTGTCCCTTGGTGGGCAGTGCCACCTTCCCTGTTAAACACCAACAGAATTTGAGGAATATAAAACCTGCAAGTCACCAACTGCTGCTGTGGCTGCTCTGTGCTTCAGTGTTTGCTTTGGTTCTTTAAACCATGTTGGAAACGAGGGGAAAAAATAGGAACTGCCATTGCTGAGAAACACCAAGTCAGGCACCTTTCTAAAACAAAGAGGGAGAGGGAGGATTCCTGCATCCACAGCAGAGACTGCGACAAAGCCATAGTGTCTCATTCTCTCTTGCTGAACGGGTTTTCAAAAAATTCTTCTGCAAAGAGATTTCTATTGTGAGATTTCTATTTGAAAGGCAGGCCTCCAGCCCTCACAATAATCCCTGACAGCTCTGCACTGGCAGACAATGTATGCAGGATTCCTAAAAATGCCCCAGCCATGAGTCAGTGCCTGCTGTGCCCAGGAGGGAGATGTGCTGGTACTCAGGGGCAGCCCATTAGGTCAGGGCAGGGTTTACCTCCCTGGAATATACATTTTCCTTTAGGGAATATTTACCGAAAGAGTTGGAAGATATAGTACAAGTGCTAATGTGTTTTGAGGCCAAAAACGAAAGGGCAAAAAAGATTGGAGATGGAGTAAGCAAGGAAGACTGAAAGAGAAATGGAGGCTAAAGATGAGAAGAAGCCTGCAAAAGAAGTGGAATCACAAAGAAGGTTGGGGAGAAAAAAAGTAGAGGAGTGCGAGAGAAAAAAAAAGATTGATCAGAAGAGAAAATGAGGCCAGAAAAAATAGAGGCTGCAAAAAGGTAGAGGGCCAAGAAAGGGTGGGAGGGGGAAAGAAATGCAGAGGCTGAAAAGGGCAGGAGGCCAAAATAAAGAGGGAGGCCAAAGGAAAGGCAGAGACCAAAAAAAAAGAGGAGGATGGAAAGGGGTGAGAGGTCGAAGAGGCACATGAGACATACGGGAAGGTCTGTGCAAAGAGGGGTCTAAAGTTTAATCGGTTCCTCGGGCCTGGACGGGGCTCAGTGGCGATAAGGCAGCACAATGTCCAATTGTTCTCCTTGCACACCGAGTCAGCCCAACTTCCTCTGGTTTCTGGGCTCAAGATGTGCAGGAACACAGACTTTGGATTTGGGCTGGACAGAGTTCGGGTCTGCCGAGGTCCCCAGCCAGACCTAGAACTCTGCATAGAGTTTTGGATAGAACTTTGGATAAACTTTCATTCCCAGCTCCACCCCAGCCCAGGGGATAAACTTTTCCTCCCAAGCTCCCTAGATTACCCTGGCCTTCCTCCCACTCCTGAGACCCTGATCTTCCTCCCAGCTGAGGCAGCTCATCATGCAGCTGGCTACAGCTCCTTGCCCTTACTCCTGATCAGCTGCACACTCAGCTCCAGAGCAGAAGCCCCACGGCACCCTGGACCCTCAGCAAAGCAGGGATGGGGAGCTGTTGCTCTCTCAGGGAGTTTCCTCTTTGCTAAATGGCCCAAAGGGACCAAGAGGCTGCAGGTGGCGGAAAGTGGCAGTGGGGACATGTGACCCTGGGGGGGTGAGGAGGCTCAGCCCTGACACCACCTGCACCCCCAGCCAGGGCGATTCGAGCCTTGCAGTGATTTGTCTTTATATTTGGCACCTTTGGTTTGGCTGAGAGAACAGTTCACAGCTTGGAGCACGGTGGTGATGAGGAGTCAGGGCTGACAGGCCCATCAGGATAATTGCTGCAGTAGTGTTATTTCAGCTATAAAACCTAGAAGGTTTGGGTTGGAAGGAACCTTCAAGATCATCCAGTTCCAACTCCCTGCCATGGGCAGGGGCACCTTCCACTAGACCAGGTTGCTCCAAACCCTGCCCAACCTGACCTTGAACACTTCCAGGGATGGAGCATTCCCAATCACCCTTAATTGTCCAGAGAAACTGTGGCTTCCCCAAACCCTTCTATGGTTCTGCGACTTTATTTTGGTTTTTTGCATCAGAAATGAACCATTTATAGTGCTGTGTCACTGCACTATATCATTCCTGTTTGTTTGGGTTTTTTTAGTTTGTTTGGTTATTTTAACGGTCCAAATATTGTGTTTTGCCATTTAAAATGTTTTTAGTTTATTGTATGTCTGTTACATGTATATTTCAATTTAAATTCTGATCTGGGCTTCTGCTTCTGGCCAGAGCTTTAGATGAATTTGCAGTAATTTGGAGAGTGTTATTTGGAATGATGCTCCTGGCTGCGGAACCAGTCCTATCTCCCTGGGTCTGGGGGTACCTGCAGGGCTTGAGGGGGTTTGTCCCAGTTGGGGGGAGCAGCACACTGACTCCCTAAAACTGTCCCTGGAGAAGGGACCTGCTGCCTCCCCACTACCCACCCCACACCTGTGCTCTGGAACCTCCCTCTTCCCCCTCACTCCAAGCCTCCCATGGGGCTGGCAGAGCATCACATGGGCATCTGTGAGGGTGGCAGTACTGGGGATCCATGTGGCATGTACTAGCATCCCGTGGGGATCCCAGAGACTCCTGTGCAGGTCCATGGGGCTGGCAGAGCACCCCATGGGGAACCCGAGCATCCTGTGAGGCTCCGTGGGGGTGGCAGAGGATCCCATAGGGATCCGTGAGGGTGTTAAAGCATCCCGTTAGGCTGGCAGAGCATCCAATTGGGATCTGTGAGTGTGTTAGAACACCCCATCGGGCTGGCAGAGCATCACATGAGGATCCGTGGGGGTGGCAGAGCAACCCTTAGGGATCCATGGGGCAGGTATGAGCATCCTATGAGGATCCTATAGCCTCCCATGGGGATCCATAGGGCTCGCAGAGCATCCCATGGGGAACCCAGAGCATCCCGTAGGGCTCGGTGCAGCATGTACGAGCATGCCCTGGCGATCCCAGAGCTGCCAGTGGGGATCCGTAGGGCTGGCAGAGCATGCATGGGGATCCGAGGGGTTCGTGTGAGTCTCCCGTGGGGCTGTCAGAGACCCCCGTGGGCTCCAGCCCCCGCCCCCGCCATCGTCCCGGGTGCGGTCGCGGCCGCTGCCCACCCCCGCCGCCGCAACCTACGCGGCGGCTGCGCGGGCGCTCCACAGCTGCCGGCTCCGCAAAGTGCGCGCGGTGAGACCGGGATGGAACACAGGGAACGGGGATGAGGAGGATGAGGAGGAGCTGCCTCGGGGCGGGGGATGCGGGGGAGGATGCGGGGGAGGGAAAGGGGGCGGCAGTGCGCGATCGCATCCACTCCCGCAGCGGAGCCGGGCACCTGCCTGCACTGCCCGACCACGGGTCAGACCAGCGGGCTGGGGCTGAGGCTCCCCGGCCAGCAGGATCGGAGAAAACCCCCCAAATGCTGGACGAGCATCAGCATTCCTGTCCCTCGCGTTTCCCTCTCCCATCATTGCGGCCAAGGACATTCCTGCAGTGCTGGGTGTCTCAGTACCCTCTGAGAAGGCGATGACCCTCCTCACCCTAATCAGCTCCGGGTGCCCCGGGCAGCGGGGACAGGGTCCTGCCTCCCCGTTATGGGAGTTTCCACTGCCCTGCTCCGTTTTGGTCCCTGCCTCCCCTTGGGGCAGCCGGCCAGAGAAGGGGCGGGGCAGGGGCGGCCCGCAGGGCTTACTCCGGCTTGTGTTTCCCGGCTGGCACCACTGAGAGAAGCTTGCCTTAAAGCCGAAGTGTTCCCGAGAGCGCTGTCAGCCAGATAAAATGCAGCTCTACGTCCCCGAGGACGGGAACTGGTGCCTGGTGCCGATGCCGGCTCTACCACAGGGCGGCTGTGCCGGGGCATCGGCTTGCCTGGGTTGCCAGGGCTGGGCTTGTGGGGTGCCAGCTGTGGGCTAATGGGCTCACGGGATGTCAGGGTGGATTTGTGGGATGACAGCAGTGGGCTCTTGGGGTGCCAGTGGTGGGCTTGTGAGGTGCCAGCAGCGGGCTTGTGGGCTCCTGAGATGCCGGGGAGGTGGGCTCGTGAGGTGGCAGCAGTGAGCTCGTGGGCTTATGGGGTGCCAGTGGCGAGCTCAAGGGGTACAGGCTGGGTACAGGTTGGGGTGCAGCTGTGCGAGGTGTGAGGCTGCGGGTCACTGCGTGTTTGCTGCTGCTGCAGGGCTAACGAAGCCCGAGCGATGACTTCAGCGCTTGGCCGGGCTCCATGAGCACTTTGATGTGGTGTTTAGGCTGTGTTATCTAAGGCTTGCCCAGAATAGGCTTTTAGTCCCAGCTCACATGGAGCCAGTGTGTTTGGACAGGCATTCCGGGCTGGAAATGCTGTGAGCCCAGACGTTTGGATAAAACATTCCCGAGTTGACTGTGGTTACCAGTGGCTGGTGCAGATGGCTCCTAATGCACCCCACAGCACAGGTGGACTCTATGGCCTTTCCTGCTATAGCACTATTCCTTTTTTTCCCAGTTTGAACAATCCCACACATTCCTCCTGCTATTTCAGGAAATAAAAAAAATTATAGCCAAACATTCCTGAATCTCACAGAATGGCAGTTCTGGCTTTGCCTCTGGCTGTCCTGGATGAAAGGCACTGGGGTTTTGAGTATATGAGGAAGATTAGGAAATGCTGCTCCTTCTCACTCAAGGGATCACCCCCCCTTGTTTTGGAGCTGCAGGGAGACTGGCCCCTCCCGGCAACCCAGCCTTCCCCACTTGCCTGGTCCCCCTTGCACCCTGGTTGTGGTTGGCA